CGTGAAATGTAGACCTGTTGCTGCCCTCAAGTCTCTCTAGGCCCAGATTTTTAGATTGATTGCTTGATCATAATTAAAAGTATCAGTGTGATTGTTGACCACATATTTTCTGTACGATTTTAATCAACTTTGTTTGTCAAAAATATTATTACAGTGTTGCATGAAGAAACGTTTTCAGCAGGTCTACTCTGGTCACATGTATACACCATTGCTCTGCAGTTTCATTCTGGTGTTTCACATTCCAGAGCGATTCCCAACGCCGATTTTGTTCGTGTTCACGTTGGACGTGCAAATTCGTTATGTTGACCAACAGATTGGGCAGAATTGATATGACTTCAAGCTCAAATTCACTGTGTGTGTAACAAATAGTAACAAATTGTGTTTATAGTTCAACATAGCAATCTTCTATTGGTCGCATCCTTTGAATTCATGAGTCTTATTTCAGCAAACTTGAATTTAGAATGCGAAACTTTTTCACAATGATCGCAGGTGATCAGCTCTCAATAAAAAAATGAACTGGTAACCAAATTTTGGAGCACAACCAATGCTGTACAAGACTTGAATTTCATTCATCATTTACCGTGTCCTGCAGATCTGCATTCCTGCAGAGCTCATTTCCGATTCTATTGAAACACACCTGAACCAGCTCATCGAGGTTGTTAATGTCAGTCAAGGTTGAGATCAGATCTCCTGGAGCAGGTTTGAGCACCCCGGAACTAGACACTAAAGCCCACCCGATAATGAAAGAAACGCTAAACTGGTTTACTGGCTGAGGGACACTGGGATTGTCACTGAGCAACCGCCTGGCTGGCGCTCGTGGCCTTGCATGAAAAAATGCAGAGGATCCAGAATTTCGTGTAGCTGCAGTTTTGAAGGGTTCGCTGAGGGTGGAGGAGTGGCGAGCTGAGGGAAACACAGTACATCTGTTCCTTGAGTCACGAATCGCAGCGTTTGTTCACGTTTAGAGGCGTGTGGTTACAACTGCAGGTCAAACAGCTGAGTTGAGTCCAGCCATGGCTTGAGTTGAACCATTTAAGGCAGATTCTTGCATCTTTAGCACAAGAGTTAGAATAACATCAGACCACCAGAGAGAAACACTTGAGCATCTGGCTTTGTGGAGTAGCTGACTTAAAGGAGCATTGTTGGTAGGGTTGTGCCGATAGACGATAGTATCGTGTATCGACGATAGTCTGACATATCGCCGATGGCAGATGCCTTTGACGATATCAATATGATAATTGGCTCGTTTTACCATAATGTATTAAATTATTATTATTAGGCCTATTATTATTATTATAAAGCTAGTATTGTTATTAAATGAATAACAATTGCAACAACACACGCACTAATGAGGACTCCTCTAAGAGAATGTTTTTAAAACAGACTAAAAAACATCCCACATCAAAATTTAATTGCAAGGTGATCCATTCACAAATTATCAAGTGCTCGTTTTAACAGACGCAAAATTCAATTTCCTACAGATCCAAGATGAAAACGGCATCGTTGTTCGTCAGTATTTGTTTCCGTAACACATTAACAAAACGTTTAATGACACTAACACTAAAAACAATACAATTACTAAATAGTATTAATAATAATATCACTAAAATAGTATTATAGTTACCGTTATCATCGTCGTCTCTGAGGGAACGCGGCGTTAATGCAGATGCCGAAAGCAGTCAGTTTTTACTTTCACTTTCAGAGATTGAGCGCGTTTGCATGCGACGACGTTCTTAACCTGATTATGTTGAATAAACTTGACAATGCATGTGGTCATGTAAACGTTTCCTTTATCAGAGTCAAGTCATAACTATAAGTATAAACCGATCGACTCAGCTAGACGTTTGGCCCTTGCTCTTTCTATCGGCATTTAAAACACATTAAACCGCGTACTTCGTGCTTACTGAAGTGCGCATGTGAAGTGCGCAGAGAGCGCACTGATAGGGGGGCACATATCGTAAACTCCGACTTTTTCTGACCCAAGAAATTGTTAAAACGTGTTTTCATCTCGTGCAGAAATAGACCCTAGTCAAAATGCTGCATGTAACGGCATGAGGATAGGCTAATGTGTCCGTAAATTTCCCGTTGACAAACAAAAGGATTAGGATCTCTATTTTTTTTACCTCACTATACCAGGAAATAACCTGATCCTATTAATAAACACTCCACCTTTGCTAGCAAAATAGAAAAAAGATTCTCGTATATAAAACGAAGTTGGCTAATAAAACAAGCAAATTAATGAGTAGGCTAAATAATCAAGTTAATAATCAAATAAGTTAGCCCCGCCCCCTCAAGATAATATCGTGTATCGCCGATCTCACAGGCTGACGATAGGACGATATGGAAATGGAGCATATCGCCCAACACTAATTGTTGGTTGTATTTAGTTTAAGTTTGTCTGTTCAAAATGCCATCAGCCAAATTGACATAATCGAATATTGTTTGAATAAAATTTAGTATTCTCTTGCAAATGTGTTTGCGTTCCCTCAAGGAATTTTGCGCTCACTCACAACACTTTTGCCTTTGCTTATAAAATGCTTTTGTTTATGGTTGTAAAACGTTTGCGTTCCCCTGAATATGTGAAGATTTGCAAGTTCGCAAAACCTTCGGGACTTTGTGTTTGCTCGCAAAGAACTCAATCATTTTGTGAGCTCAATATTTTTGTAGGGAAAGTGAAAGCTGGTAAAGGACAGGGGTGGCCAAACACACCTGAACAAGCTAATCAAGGTCTGAAGGATCACTAGAAAGATGCAGGTGAGTTTTCTTTTGATCAGGGTTGGAGCAAAACTCTGCAGGACTGTAATGCTGCATTCACACCGGATGAGAATAGCGCGTCAAATACGCATTTACTGCGTCTAGTTTGACGCTTGACCACTTTGTGTTGATTCAAGCGTCAAGAGTGAAACTGACACGCGTAAAAACAAAATTTTGAAGTGAAATTAACGCACGTCAGCATCGAAATCTGTTGGCGGCCATTGTTTTATGTTGATCGAGCATTCATTGAGAGAGTCACCGCTCTGTATTTACTCTGGAGAGCAGAACAGCGGCGTGGGGATCATCGTCGCCATATTTGTGCGGACCCGTTTGGTGAGTTTCACCATTTGCTCGCTCCAGGAGCTGCGCTGGATGACGGCCGCTGTCAGCGGTACTTCCGCCTGTCCCGCGCCCAGTTTGATGACCTGTTGTCCCGCATCGGAGCGAGGATCACCCTCGCCCTCATCTAATCTGTCATTTATTTTGATGATAAATAGAGCTAACCTCCAAAAGTTATTAACCTGTCCTGTGATTTTTCTCTCTCTCATGTCCAGACACGAACTTATGCTCATGTATGTTGGTTGTATTTACATCATAATAATATTTCCAATAATCTAGATATGGAATAAATAACCTTCAATACAAAATGAACATGTCTCGTATATTGTATAGTTTTAAGTGATAAAATATTTGCTTTGTTGTGCATTAGAACCATATTACCAAATAATAATATTGAAGCATCCAGATCCTTCACCACGTGACAGCAGCAGGCTCCTGATTGGTTAACGCGGCGCAAATTGACGCCAAAGTTCAGATTTTTCAACTCGTGCGGCAGGCGCGAATTCGCGTCAAACGCGTGAATGCGCAAATAGCACTAAATCATTCGCGCTTAATGCGCCAGACACTCAAATCGCGCCATTCGCTCGAACGAGGCGTATTCGCGTCTACGCCTCATTCGCGCCGCGGGAATATTTTACGTGCGTAACGTGTCTTTGCATTGACTTATCATTGAAATCATTCGCGCCTGATGTGCTATTCGCGTCCGGTGTGAACGCACCATTAGCCTAGAAATCTAGACGCACCCTAGTGGCAGCAAAAAATATTTTGCCACCAGTGTGGTCTAGCAACTCTTCGTTGGCTTTCGAAGTGGAAAATCCAAACTCTGGTCAGGCCAATCACATCGTGTATAGAGTTGGTGGGCGGGCTTAACACAATGACGGCAGAGTTGTGACGCTTCTGCGCTGTGATAGGTGAATTCCCTGCTACTCGAAAACAAACAATATTCTGCTGGCGAACAGCTGTCTTTCGAATCGGCTTTGGCCGCAATTCTGGATGACTTGGGGTTAAGAGAATGTCACTTAAAGGAAGATTTGTTCGGAGTTTTGACGACTGGATACAGCAAAAGTTTAATATATCAACTTGCTCCGCTGGTGGGAAAACGCATTGGACTCACTCAGCCACAGCCATTCGTTGCTCTGGTTAGTGTTATCCTATGGCGTGCAGAAGGGATATTGAAAGACAACCGTTTATCCCGCCCCTCGGATTGAGGTATGCCAATTGTTAGTTCCCAGACCTAACATCTTGATGTAGGCTACGGGACTGTGGTTCTCCGGGACCGATGTTGTTCGCATCCAGCCACAATCCAATGGCAATTATTACATTTTACTATTACTGTTATGTATTGCTCTTTTATGTTTTGGTGAAGGTCTCATTTGTGTGATCTGCACTTGCCTCTCTTAAGGTTAGGTTTAGGGGTTGACCTTCATGCTTTGTTTTCTTTTTATTTTTGGTGGATTTTTTGTACAAATTGTAAGAATCCAAACAACTCATAAAACAACAAAGTTTTCTCATGAGATCGGGTTGCCTTCAGATCGTATTTAAAACTAGCATTGTATCAGGGAAGGCACAGGCAAGCATCCTTCACCAAAATCTAGCCTCCAAAGCACTGATTTTATATTTCTATTTATCAAATTTTTTACCCCATAACCATGCCCCTTTAGTTGCTCTGGCGAGCTTCCCCAACACTGACGCCACTGTAGTTCGACACGGCCGAGAAATCAAAAGGTTTCCTCTGAAAGATAGTTGGGTTCCTTCTAAATGGGTTTTGTAGTAGATTGAAGGATCAGGCCAAAATGCCCAACATGCAAAATCACCAAAGTGTTCCTCGAGTAGTTCTGATTTGCTTGACCTTCCGAACACTGAAAGAAGTGTGTTTAACGTGAGCATTTGCTGTTTTTCTTGTGCAGCCACATTGAGAAGATCACCACATGGCATGACCCCAGGAAGAACCTGACCCCCTCGGTGACCCAGATGGGTCTGCACAATCAAGCCTCTACTAACGGCAACATACAGCAGCGCTCCATGGCCCTCTCTCAACCCAACCTCGGTGAGTGTGAATGCCATCCCATTACTCAACATGAAAACATGCGTTCTCTTGAGCTGTTTCAATCAGCTGCCAAGGTGTTCATCCCAACCCATGACATTCACACACACATCTAATATCATAGCTCTGATGTGCTAGCCGATATTTCTTCCTTTCTGTCCCTCCATTGAAAGTCCAAGTAACCAAAACAAAAAAGATCCAAAAAGGTCATATTGTTGTTGTAAAATGAATCCATATGAATCAAGCAGTTTAATCCATACATGAATAACACCACATATTACCCATGAAACCACATAGTAACTTGCTAAAAACCTTCAGAAGCTTTCCGAAATCACCCCCTCTACCCTTTTATAGGGCATTATCTGAGAACCCATGGTAACCCACCACAGCATCTGATGTACACTCAGCAAATAGGTGCAAAACCAGGGCTGTCAAACTCACCCCGCGTCATTTACTTAAAGGAGTAGTTCACTTTTAAAAAAAACTTTTGCTGATAATTTACTCACCCCCATGTCATCCAAGATGTCCATGTCTTTCTTTCTTCAGTCGAAAAGAAATGAAGGTTTTTGATGAAAACATTCCAGGATTTTCTCCATATAATGGACTTCAATGGGAACCAAACGGTTCAAGGTCCAAAAGACAGTTTCAGTGCAAACTGTTCAAAGGGCTTTAAACGATTCCAGACGATGAATAAGGGTCTTATCAAGCGAAACGATCGCTCATTTGTGTTGTACTACTTTCATGTTATCACTAAGCTGCTTTGATACAATCTGTATTGTGAAAAGCGCTATATAAATAAATGTGACTTGACTTGACTCATTTAAAAAATAAATAACAAAGTTGAAGTTTTATAAGCACAAATGCTCGCCTTGCTCTGTTCTGTGATGCGCGTTCGTGACTCTCCGTTTATCAAAATGAACGAATCTTTTTTGAGTCAATTGGTTAATTCAATGAACGAAATGAATGAATTGACTCGAAAAAAGAGGTCGAACAGGAGAGTCACACATCACAGAACAGAGCAAGGTGACCATTTGAGCTTATAAAACTTAAACTTAGTTATTTATTTTTTAAATAAGCGATCATTTCGCTTGATAAGACCCTTATTCATCGTCTGGAATCGTTTGAAGCCCTTTGAACAGTTTGCAGTTTGCACTGAAACTGTCTTTTGGACCTTGAACCGTTTGGTTCCCAATGAAGTCCATTATATCAGTCACATCAGTCTGCCTGTCCATCAGAGGCTCTGAGTGCTCCTTTTGAGGGGTCAAATGCTGATTTAGTGAAGAAAGTCTCCCAGCGGGCAGAATGAAGGCTTTTCAAGCTTCCTTCAGTGTCTGCATGTTGTTTGCTCTGACTCTGTCAGGACACTAAATGACTTCCAAATGTGCTTGCTTTGTTTGCCTTTTTTTTTTTCTTTCCAAATCCTGATTTGTGATGAAATGGAAAAAAAGGTGTGCCTCTGCTTTGTTGGCAGCCGAGACACAGATTCCAGCGAAGGGGGGTGGGGGATAAGAAGAACGAGACCAAAGAGTTTGGAGGGAGAAAGTTTCCTTCCAGCACTTCCAGCACATACAGTAGACGCCGACTATCTCAGCGTATAGAGTTACAGTACACAACACAACGTTTAGTCTGCAGTCACAGGAAGTAAAGATATTTAATAAAAGCCCACAAACAAAAAAACAGTGTGTATTGCAATACAAAATATCAGAAAGTTTCCAGTGTGACCGTAGCAAGCAGTGTGAGGAAGCGCTGATGATGACACTGGATGTGAATAAAGCTGCTCAGCCTGAAGTAATGAACTGTGTGTGTGTGTGTGTGTGTGTAGCCCAACCTGCTGCACTCGTTCAAACGGTCGTTTTCCTCCCTGATCTTCTGTAAACTCAACCATTCATTTCTGTCTTGCACGATCTTCGATGACTCAACCAGTCTTTTTTTTTTTCTCTGTGTGTGTGTGTGTGTGTTTTGACATGACTGTGTCATCCATTTTGGCTCACTAAACAAGTTCAAAGGACTCACAATAGAAAGCCGTGAGTCAGACCTGGGCCCTACAATCCCACAATGCCTTGTTCTTCCTCTATCCCTGTTTTTTTCAATCTCTGGGAACTTGAGGGGCAACAGATTTCCTCTATTCTTAGTTTAGGCCAGCTCGAGCCTTCACCTGTTGTGTGTATTCACGATGGCCCCCCCCCCCTTAAAATTGAGGGATTAAAGCTAATTGACCGTTGACACTCTAATACAGGGCCTAAGGTCCTGTTTTCCCCAGTCTTTTCCACTCTTATTTGAACTCTGTAGTTTGTTGCGTATCTTTTTCTCCTTGCAGTTGAAAATAATGGACATATTGCATCACACTCGGCTTTACAAGCAGCTGTTCTGCTTCTTTAGCACTTAAGCTGAAATTAAGCCCAGCATGAATGTGTAATGTATTTCAACAGACGTTCATACAGTGAATATACATCTTAAACGATGAGGATGTTTTTAAACTTACATAAATTATGTCATAGAGATGTCTCTGTTTATTTGACTTTTTATGACAAAGCAAGGATACTTGCTACCACAACTTACCAAAAACGTAATGAAGTATGATTTTAAAAACTTGCTTTTAGTTCACTTTAAAAAAAAACTTTTGCTGATAATTTACACACCCCCGTGTCATCCAAGATGTTCATTTCATCCTTTTTCTCAGTCGAAAAGAAATGAAGGTTTCTGATGAAAACATTCCAGGATTTTCTCCATATAATGGACTTCAATGGGAACCAAACGGTTCAAGGTCCAAAAGACGGTTTCAGTGCAAACTGTTCAAAGGGCTTTAAACGATTCCAGACGATGAATAAGGGTCTTATCTAGGACCCTTCGAGTCATGACTCGAAAAAAGATTTTGATGAACGAGTTCGAACAGGAGAGTCACGAACGCTCATTACAGAACAGAGCAAGGCGAGCATTTATGCTTATAAAACTTAAACTTTTTAAATTTATTTATTAAATGAGCGATCGTTTTGCTTGATAAGACCCTTATTCATCGTCAGGAATCGTTTAAAGCCCTTTGAACAGTTTGCACTGAAACTGTCTTTTGGACCTTGAACCGTTTGGTTCCCATTGAAGTCCATTATATGGAGAAAATCCTGGAATGTTTTCATCAAAAACCTTAATTTCTCTTCGACTGAAGACAGAATGACATGAACACCTTGGATGACATGGGGGTGAAGTGAACTACTCCTTTAAAAATATTTTTTGAGTGAATGGGCTATATGCACGCATAAGTTCCGCATTTGACGCAAGGATGCTGGTCCGTTTCCGGTTGTGTAGATTAAAGCGGAGGAAAACCGGAGAAAACGGGATTATGGCAGAGTCTTCAATATTTACTGTCCTCCCGTCTTTGAAACGAAACGTACATACGTTTAGATGTAATTTATAGTTATGTTTATTTAATATAATTTTAAAAAGAAGCATAAACACAACGAGGGGTGTCTGTTTTATCTGTTTTTGTGACTAACGTTTCATTAGTATAACTATGGAGTATAAAATTCAATATAAATTCTCGGTATTGCATTGGACTCTATGATCGGCGGAAGTTATCGAGCATCCTTAATCCTTCACCGGAAATAACGCCGTGCATAGAGCCCATTGTATTACTTTTTACTTGGTTACACCTCATGACATAATTGAAAAAGTTAGTACATTTAAACTTTTCTTTAAAATTGTATGATTTGTTTTTTTTTTCACATCCATTTGGATTTGATTGGTTCTTGAAAAGTGGTCTGTATTATATTTTATAATATTGGACACTGCTATTTGACCCTGGCTACATTAACAGAAAAGCCAATACATTTTAGGGCCAACACAACACAAGTCATTACATTTTTATTAAAAACTCAAAGTAACCCCTAAGAAATTGCACACAACAGTTTGGCGCTGGGGCAGTACCCTTAACTAGGGGTTTATCTGTATTATGTACCCTTAAGGTGCATGTCGCTTTTAGGGGTAAATAAGGTACACGCATGTTCCTTTAAGGGTCCTGCGCCAGTGACAAGCTGCTTTGCACATTAAGTAGTGGCGTAAACTCTTCAGTGGTCACCGCTCGGGAGTGGGTCAGGCTGCCGGCTGATCTCTAGCTGTTGTGCTGTTGCTGAACAGGACAGTTGCCCGAGGCTTGGGAGCAGGCCGTCACCCCTCAGGGAGAAACATACTTCATTGACCACAAAACCCAGAGCACCTCATGGCTGGACCCGCGGGTAGGTGAGTACTCCCTTCTCGAGTTCCTGGAGTCCAATCAGCCCAGTAGCTTGATCCAGTCATTTAATTCTTCCACATCCTGCCGCCCCACTCAAATCCCACAGTCCCATTCTTGATCGGTTGACCCCCGTTTCCCACACTGCCACTAATCTAAACCCACAGTATGATGAAATGGCATGAGGGTGTTGTTGTAGTGCTCTGACTAGCATGTGTTGCGTTGTTGACATGTCCCCTGAGAGTGTAATGATCCACAGATGATTTGCGCTACATGCTAATCCTTGTTGATTGTCATGATTTTCTGTTGGCCTGATCAGTGATCATTTCCCTTATAAAAACTTAATGATCCTTGATGACCATTTTCAGGGACAATTAAAATTCTGTCATCACCACAACCTCATGTCTTTCCAAATCTTTATGACTTTCATTCTTCCGCATAACACATTTTGTCGAGTGTTTAGACTAAACAACAACGGACCGCATTGACTTTCATTGTATGGACAAAAAATTGTTTTGGAACGACATGAGCGTAAGTAAATGATGACCGAATGTTCATTTTCCAATGGTACTAAATATTGTGCTTTTGCCAATGACCGACAAATGAAAGTCTGATCTAATAATGTGTATTTTTTTGGTGAAAAACTCGGCTGGCTGACTGACATGTACGGTGGCCCAGTAGTGCACAACACAACGACACTTAAAAAGCAAACACAAGTTCACAACAAAACGAAATTAAGCCACAGCACAACTAAATGAATCCACAACACAACAGAATTGAGCCACAACACAACGGAAAAATGCTACCGACCACTAGAGGGCTCTCGGAGCGCGTTAAAGTTAGTTTTCCTTGCCGTCTAAATAATATATCAACACCACGATTAGTTTTAACAGTATGAACCATTGTACATCGACATTATTAATTCAAAATCACCTACGAGGTTTGACGCGCTTCCACGTCGCATGATCCCTAAAGGGAACGTCTGCCAAATCCTCCAAGTTGTTAAAACGTATAATTTGTTTTAATTAAAATCACTTTTAACATTCAAAAAACAGACATGTTCAAAATCCAAAGCTTGATTGTATTGGTGGTAGACTGACTTACTACAGCTGATTTTTTTTTACCCTTCCAATACCCTTCATTTATTTATAGTAAACAATTATTTTTTAGAAAATTTCTGTAATATAATAAATGTTTTTTTTTTCTTTTATCATGTTTCAAAGGTTGTAGTATTACAATTAACCAGACAGACTTACAACAGGTAAAATTGTGCCAATAGCTCCCTGCATGCACAGTACAGATTTTTTTTATTTTTTTTTATAAAAATATTAGGACTACTGCAATTCACCTAAAGTTTTTTTTTTTTGTTTTGTTTTGTTTTTTTTCATGCCCCAAAGCTCGTAGGTTCCCAGTAACCAGCCTGACTTATTATAGGCGAAAGTATTATAGGCGAAGCTAACGCCAGACCCAATTCTCGTTGAGAACCACATGTTCAATTTCCCGTATTTGAGGTGTGGTTTACGAATGCCCGGCACCGTTGATTGGGTGCTAAGAATGCCTATCAAATGCGCCTGTACGTTGCTCATAGCCAATCGTTTCAATTAGAAAAACACAAGTACAGTTTAACATAGATGTTGAAGTTGTTATTTGCATTGGAAATTGTTTGCGCTTGTACTTCACAAGTTTAAAAAAATGTAAAAATTTAATTTAATGACTAAAGTTGTCAACAACTTTAATCGGGTACGTGTGCGCAGCGGAAAGTTATGCTACTAAAGCGGTTTGATATTGAAAAGCAACACATCTTAGTGGCACTGTGACAACCACAGTAGGTAGTCTACAGGCATAATGACAATATGATATTAATAAATACCATTTACCATTTATAAGTTAAATGGACTTCGTTGATGACGATGCCTAGCAGGTTGGTACAATACAACTCCGTGGCTAACATGTCTTGCCACTTTGCGCTCATCCAGGCCTCGGGACTGCCGAACAGAAGTTGGTATCGACAATTCTTTATCGCATTTTCTTTCTCTGGACACAGCTGAGCGGCACATATTCCAAGGTCGACCGCCTCCTGTACCTGGTCCTCCATTAGGGCGATTAATGGCGAGACAACAATAACGACTGGGGTCTCGCGAAGTTTAACGCCAAAAGCGGCTATTTTTTTCTAAATAAACTTATATTCGAAACTACTTAGAACAATATCTAAGGCTGCATCAAAAGGTAGCTTCGTGTCTGCTGCCATGTTGAATTCATAGCAATAAACAAACTGCTTCGGTGTGTCGCATAGATGTCGTCATCGTCTTGCTGCTCCCTCCCCGTTCTGTGATTGGTTCCCTAAATGAGGCGAAAATCTGACCATGGTATCCAGGTATCCATTAATTCAGGTGTGTCTGATTATTGTTGCCGTGACTACTGAGGTCAGGCACACCTGAATTAATCAATTTGGCCAATAATGGCAGACAACAAGGAGCTAGCTTAAGTTCAGGAAGTAGTGCAACTGTGCATAAAGCCCATTCACCAAATGGTTTTCCTTTTTCTTTTTCAAATTAATATTATAAGAAAATTTTAACCACGTGGTGGAATTGGCAGACATTCCCTTAGGGATCATGCGCTGTGGTAGCGCGTCAAATCATTCTCGAGTATAAATACGCAGGTGTAATTCATGTTGGTGATTTTGAAGTATATTTTATGTCGATATACAATGGTTGCATACTTTTAATCAATCGTGGTATTGGTATATTAAGACTACCGACTATACAGCAATGGCAAGGAAAACTAACTTTAACGCGCTCCGAGAGCCCTCTAGTGGTCGGGGGCATTTCCGTTGTGTTGCGGCTTTATTTCGTTGTGTTGTAGATTTTACGTTGATTTGTTGTGGCTTATTTCTGTTGTGTTGTGAATTTGTGTTTGCTTTTTAAATTTTGTTGTGTTGTGCACTACTGGGCCACCGTAGGCGTGTCATCAAATGCTCTCTAAGCCTGTAAAATAAATATTAGAAATTACCTGTGCTCAATGTATTGCTTAGTTTGCCTCATAAAGTTGGGGAACATTAGAATCAAGTTTCAACCTACCATTGTTACAAAAATTAGTCACAAAAATTAGATTTTCGCTATATGATTATTGTGAGCAAAACAATTCACATTAATGATATTATCTCTAAAAAAAATTTACATATAAAAAATGTTTTTCTAAAGATATTATCAGAAGAGTTGTATTAGTTATTGTCGATTCTGCTACACAACAGCCCTAGGGGACATAGAGCTCAGACAAATATACAAATGTCCTTTTGTGTCTTTATGATATGGTATATAGATATTCAACATAAGAAGCAAAAGTGACACATATGGACCCACGTTATAGTGTATACCAATACAAATATTTGTTGGTTTTAAAATCCGATATTCCGTTATATCTCGGCCGATATTATTATTATTATTATTATTATTATTATTATTATTTCAGAAACGCACAACAAAATATTGACAGATTTCCCTAACATTAGTTATTTGTAGTTTTTTTTATGAGATTTAACTAAAATAATATATTAATGCATTTTAAAAAGAAACTTGTTTCTATTGTCACAACAGAACAGAGGAACATCAAAATATATTAAAGTTCTGATAAATAAAATAATAATTAGACCTATATTGCCTTATAGTTATAAGCTGCGTGATTCGTCCGTTTTTATTTTATTTTTGAAATTTTCATTTATCGCCCATTATAACTGCCGATACCGATATTTTAGAAAATGCCTAATATTGGCCGATAATATCGGCCTGCCGATATATCGGTCTGGCTCTAGTGTTTAATTACTATGTAACTTTTAAATTGCACTTATTGTGTAATTGCATGTTTTTTTTTTTTGTTTTTTTTTACATTGTACTTATTGATTTTTTTTTTTTTTTTTTTTTTTTTTGGAATTGACATCTGTCATGATGCTGTTGACCCGACACCTACAGTACCCTTACCCCGCCCTTAAACCTTAACCTACCCATACCACCAAACCAAAGCAGGAAAAGTTTAAAAATAGTTATTAGTTAAAGACACCTAATATAAAGTAATGTCATTGGAGTGAGATATTGGGTTTGTTACTTTTGATTACGAGCACTTGTTGAGACAGAATGTCCTTTTAAATTTCACAGATTTTTGGGACTGGAAGTTTTTTCCTTTCCTTTTTTCTTGTCGTTTTTCGCTGACCCTGTTAGACAGCTGATGCCGTTTCTGGGAAATCAATGAAACAAGACGTTCTTTGTGGTGTGGCTTTAGCAACTCAAACGACTCTGTCCGATCTCTCTCTCTCTCTCTCTCTCTCTCTCTCTCTCTCTCTCTCCTCTCCTTCACGGACCTTGTCCGCCCTGCATGTGTTTTCCATCATGGGGGTTGTCGTGATACTCAGATGTCAGGAGGCCAAAAGCTGGAAGGCAGAGTGTGTCGGATGCCTCCAGAGCCACGGTTCACATCTGGACCAGCAGTTCAAACTGGAACAGAGAGTCTCCGAGACAGGGACACCTGTTGGACTCAGACAGTGAACCACCTGAACTCTGTCAAGGCACCTTCGTTTATATAGCGCTTAACGCAATGCAGATTGTTTCAAAGCAGCAGTTCCTTGTAATTATACATAATTTACTGTTAATGCTAAAATTCTGTTAATAATAAGTACATGTTGTAATGTGTAACTACGTCACCTTAAAATAAAGTGCCACGACATTCATATTGCATGGTAGAACCCCTCTATTACCCCTTTTCCACCACAAAAAGAACTGGTTCGGAACTGGTGCTGGTTCAAAGTTGGTTCAGAGTTGGTTCAACTTGCGAACCGCTTCAGAACCTGTTTGTTTTTCCACTGACTAGAGCGCCCAGGGAACGACGTCATTACGTCACTGTGTACGTCGCCATACGTCTTAGAAACGCTAGAAACGCTTGCAAATACAACATTACTTTGGGATTATCTCTAACTCGTGTACCAGGAAAGCTTTAAAAACAATTGAAATATGTAAGTCTT